TCTTGTTCCAGGCTCTCTCCAGATACAGGTATATCAAGAATTGGTTTCCAGGCTGAGTCACAAATCATCTGTAAAAAGCACAGTGCTTCACATGAGTATAGTTCAAGGTGCATGTTGTCTCTACCATGCATGTAATGTGCTGCAGTAAGAGGGATGTAAACAGCCTTAAAGTAACTTAGACCATGAAACTAGAGTTCTAGTGGTTGCATACAACTCACATGAGAGCTGTGAAGCTGTACCAGCCCTGTTGCTATGCTGAAAATCCCAAATAACGAGGCCAACTTTGCCCAGGTCTTCTGAATATGGATCTAGTGTCCTGAAATTGTTTCCACCAATAGCAGACGACACTGGACATTACACTGAGCTCTGTAGTCATTTGCACTTGTGGTTGGCTTGCTTCCAATCTACCGAAAGGTAGGTCCACATCTGTGTTTCATTTCTTGCTTTTCTTTCTCACTTTTTTTTTGGGGGGGAAGGGAGGTTTGGTTTTAAACCAAGAAATTGTTGGGGTGATTTTGTGAAGGTCAGGAGTAATTTTGTCAGCTGTTTGGTTTTTCACTAGAGCAACTCTCTTTTTCGCTAACACCATAAAAAAAATAGATCAAAGAGTAAATATGAAATGTAAGTAATGTAAATATCATATACCGAAGTTACTTTTTTTGCTTAGCTCCTTGCTACTTATTTTACCTAATACTTTAAAAAATTAACCCAGTTCTTCCCAGAAACAGAGCAAATGTCACGAAGAAGTACGAACACACAAATCGCTAAAAAACCCTATGTGCTTATGTATTCAACTCTGAATTTGCATAATTAGTATCTTTTGTTCAATACGTTTTATTAAAATGACATAATTTGCAAATTCTCTTAATTCTGCATATAAGTGTACAGGTACAAAGCAGGTACCTTCCTTTACTGCTCATTTGATACAAAACTGACTAATTTTTGCATTTGCTGTATTGCCCTGGAAATGAAATATTCAATAAATATTTTATATTTGTATTTAAAACTAATATGCTGTATAATTATAATTACTTTCGATAAATGAAGTTGAAGCACACAAATTAAATTAATCCATCTATTAGTTTCATGCTATCTATATTTCATCTATTAATTTTATTGAATGAAGTTGAAACTAAATTTGTATAATTACTGTTGCTAAAAAAATTGTTAGTATAGCTCTTCTTGTAATAAATTTCCCTGTACCTATGAATAAATTTTTCTTATGCAACATATAATATACAGAATTTTTTATGTATAAATAAATATGAATTATTCTTTACTCAGTTCAGTCTGATTTTATTACTCATTCTGTAAAACTAATATAGGAATTCTGAATTATATTAAGATGTTTTCTTTGGACATTTCCTTGACTGCTATACACAAGGTTTCTATACATTTATACAGTCAAAAGTCGTTAATTCGGACACCCATAATTCGGAATGATCTATAATCCGGACCTCAAAACTAAAAACTTTCTGCGCATGCGCCGCGTTGACACATGCGCATAGGCGTTTACGCGTGCGCGTAAGACCTTTTACGACTGCGCATATGAGTGTGCGCAAGTGCAGAATACGTTTTCGCTTGCGCGTTTTATGTATAATGGACGTATAAGCTAAAATTGTCTAATTATCTATTTCAGTTAATGTTGATGATTGCGTGGTTCCTTAATTTTCGAATTGGATCCGACTTATTATTTTTTGCAGACTGTAAGAGCAATTTTATAAAAGTAAGCTTAAACTTTCGATTATACCAAATAGAATTTCCGATATATATTTGTTAATATGTAAAGGATCTAAAGCGAAAGTATGTTTTGAAATCCGAAATCTGTTTATCAATTTCACGCTGCTCGGCGGGGGGGGGGGATCGCCGCGGCGGGCGCGTAATGAATTGGAAGTTGATCTGTCAACACTATCCTTATCTTCAGCGCAGATGTTTTTATTTTATTTGGCTTATAATTCCTTACCAAATGTAGTATTTCATCTCGATATGCTCCGTCTTTGATATGATTTAAAACAAGTTCCTCGTCATTATAATTCGCTTTCGATAGCGAAGAAAGTGACAGAGGTTATTGAAAACGAAAAAATTTCGATTGACAAATTAATCGGTGTTCTAGACACAGCAATTATAGGACTTGAACAGCGGAACTTTGTAACTGAACAAGAAATTATGTCTGTTTAATAGAATTAAAGAGAAAGTATTATCACATGAAACGAAGCAAAACTTAAACAACTTACATTGAAAGAAATGTTTAATAAAGTAAACAAATAAATATTAAGCTTTTTCTTTTTGCAAATTTTGATACCCTTTAGATCATAATTGTTCTTTATTTCATAAATTACGTTTTCATATTTTTAATTTTAGAATTTCTGCATGCCATCTTACGAGATTTAAACTGATGATCTATAATCCGGAATCGCCGAAGTCCCGACGAGTCCGGATTGACGACTTTTGACTGTAATAGATTACAGTATCTTGTGAGGTGGCATATTGAGGAGGGTAGTTCTAAAAACTGTTCAGTTTTCACATTTTTAGATTAACTATTCTTTTTTCCCTAATTTTCACATGCAGAATGAATTAAAAATATTTTATGCATAAAACTTTCAAAAATGCATTTATTCATATGTCTTCCCCTTGCATAGCTTATTAGCATAATGCAGAACTTTCATTAGCATTATTTTCAACTTATTCCAATAATTCAGTGACAAAAATGACCAATTCTTAGAAATTTTGTTCATATGCTTCAAGGCCCAACTTATTACCCAAATAAACATGAGAATGGACTTCTCTTCCCAAAAGCCGAAATGTTAAAATAATCCAATGTAACCCTATTGTCAAAACAAAAGATAAACACCAAAGTAAAAACATTAAATTAGCAAAACAGCAACCTTCTGTTTGGTGTACTCTATTGATTTCAAGAGCAAACAGGTACAGGCCCCTCTTCATCATGAGCAAAGAAATCTGTAACGAAAGACAAGGCCATGGCTGAAGTCAGTCTACACCAAACAAAAAGTTGTTGTTTTGCTCATTTTATGTCATCTGATTGTCTTTTTTCCCTTGTAATTAACCTCCAGCCATTAATTATAGGATGGTCTAGATGTTGAAGATAAACATAACAGTTTCTCCTTCCTTTCCTTTTAAAATTTATAGGTCTTTTTTTATAATAAAAATCTTTTAGCTTTGATTATGTAACTTAGAAATTCTGCGTTTACCTATAATCAAGGGATGGATAGTAATGCACAATGCAGAAATTTAAAAAAGAGGAGACAGTAATATTAGAACATTTAATTCATATGCACTTTTGAATAGTTATATGTATAAATTTTCCCTTTACCCTTTACCCTCAGAGATGGTATACACCACTTTTTCGCTTTTCAAGCAATGAAATTATTGAAGAATTGGAAAAATTTGTTAGTACAGTCAAAAGTCGTTAATTCGGACACCCATAATTCGGAATGATCTATAATCCGGACCTCAAAGCTACAAACTTTCTGCAGGCGTTTACAACTGCGTGTAAGACTTTTACGGCTGCGAATATGCATGTGCGCATGCACGTTTAATGTGTAACGGGACGGTATAAGCTAAGCTAAAATTATCTAATTTAGTTAATGTTGCAGATTGCGTTGTTCCTTGATCTTCGAATTGGATCCGGCTTATTATTTTTTGCAGACTGTTAGAGCAATTTTATAAAAGTAAGCTTGAACTTTCGATTATGTCAAATAGAATTTCCGATATATACTAATATGTAAAGGATCTACAAAGCGAAAGTATGTTCTGAAATCTGTTTATCAATTTCACGCCGCGGCGCGCAATGAATTGGAAGTTGATCTGTCAGCACTATCCATATCTTCAGGGCAGATGTTTTTATTTTATTTGGCTTATAATTCCTTACTAAATGCAGTATTTCATCTCGATGTACTCCGTCTTTGATATGATTTAAATCAAGTTCCTCGTCATTTTAATTCGCTTCCGATAGTGAAGAAAGTGACTCAGAGGTTATTGAAAACGAAAAAATTTCGATTGACAAATTAGTCAGTATTCTCAACACAGCAATTATAGGACTTGAACAGCGGAACTTTGTAACTAGACAAGAAATTATGTTTGTTTAATAGAATTAAAGAGAAAGTATTATCACATGAAATGAAGCAACTTAAACAACTTACATTGAAAGAAATGTTTAATAAAATAAACAAATAAATATTAAGCTTTTTCTTTTTCTAAATTTTGATACCCTTTAGATCATAATTGTTCTTTATTTCATAAATTACGGTTTCATATTTTTAATTTTGTAATTTCTGCATGCCATCTTACCAGATTAAACTGATGATCTATAATCCGGAATCGCCGAAGTCCTGACAAGTCCGGATTAACGACTTTTGACTGTATTATGTATAGACAAATATTTTATAAAGCAATTTTTTCATAACGCTTATCTAATTACAACAGAATACTGTTTACTTAAAAGATTAAACAATGGATGACTGACAAAGACATTCACTTTTGAAAAAGATAATCTTTTTGTCCTAATAAATATCCACTTTTAAAATAAGATTTCTCTTGTTATTGATTAAAACTTGAAATTTTCCTCCTACTTATGTGGAAAATGTAATAAATGTCAAATGGAACTTTCTACTCAAATGCAATAAAAAGGAAGAATCTTCATTTTTCCCTTAAGTAATTCATTTTTATAAAACAGCTTTTCTTGTGCTTCACAAAATGTCATGTTGTTCTGGATTTAAATATGTTCAACTAATCTAATCTTACATCAGATATTCTACAAAATCATTTCTTGCTACACATGATTCATTTATATTTGATTGGAAATAAATATTTTCAGATAAATATATTATTTTTTATTCAGTAATATGGATTTTGATTTTTATAATATTGTACTTATCTAGCTTATTAAGTGAAACAACCTTCCATATTTTAAAATGCAGATTAAAATTTATAGTACTGCTTTTAATACTAATCTTATTTATATTTGAATTTCTGATTTTTAGATCCTCAAAAACGCATGCGGGGCATGTTTATGCATCTGGGTTTCCTTACTTTACTCTACACAACTGGATATTCTGCAGCAAATCTCTTGGGCTGGATATAAAGCATTATAATGACAACTATATTCACTTTTCTTATTACAAACTATTCAAAAGTGTATATTTTTGAAGCTATACCAACAAAAATTATGAAACTTCTGAAAATAAAAAATGATTCTTTTTGAATTGTAATAATTATTAAATACAAATATAATGTTGAGTGCAGAGTAGTAGTTTATTTACATGTTTTGAGCTTGACAATAACTAGATGAAACCTGAATAAATCCATCTATGAATTTTTTGAAAGTAAAGTATTTAATTCCTTTCGTATTTCACTTAGTTTTCGATCTTGATGTTTCATCCTAGAATTAATGTCTATAGTCATGCTGTCCAATTTATTTTCAACAACATGGACACTATGCTGTAACTCCTGTATATGGCACAGCAATTGTGCATTTGGAGGACTATTTGTACAAGCCATAGATCCATAATGTAAAGCAGAAATACCCGAAACTACTTTTTTCAACTCGCGCAGTTCTGCTTTGATATCATTGAGCTCAGTTGTATGCTTTTCAAACATATCTAAAACACATCTTTCTATATCAAATATTTTCCTTTCAGCATTGCCTCGTAAAGTACTACCTCGACTGACTGAAGAATATTGCCCAATACTGTAATAATCTTCATTGCTTGAGGAATTCATTTCAATTTTTTTTGGCATCACAATTGACTCGGCAGAGTAATAGCTAAGGACACTTTTATCATCATTTTCTATATCATTACAAGTTTCTACTTTATCTAAATGTACTTCAACAGCTTTGTCACAGAATTCTTTTTGACGTACGGTGGGATTAACTATAATATTATCACTATCAAAGGTTTTGGTAGCTTTAAGTGTAATGCTTTTAGATGTGATTTCAGCTTTGTTAGGAACACTTTCAGGCACTGGCATTCTTTCAGGCAACTTGATACGGTTTTCTGAACAAAATCGGCTCTTAGGAGTATTTTTTCTACTGTCAAAGCAGCTAGCAAAATCTTTTTCTTGAACAATAAACCTTTTCTCCGGTCCTAAAAGTGATTTTAATGCAATAACTCTAAATGTCATGTTGCAACTAATATAACCATCATCAGGAATGGTAAGTGAGGCAGTGCAGTCTTCACATGACTGACCACTAAGCAACCACAATAACTTTGTGTGATTGAAGGTGCTTATCGCTATACCTTTAGGTACTTTCCCTTTCTCCAAAACCTTAAAAAAGAAAACAGCAATATAAAAAGCTATACTATAGATATATGTACTTTATTTATATGAATGATACAAATTTAAATTGACAACAAAAATACAATAAACCCTTGCTTGCAATTATGCACATATGCATTATCTGAAGTTTTTCCGTTTAATTTGTTCAGTGCCAGAATTTCATTCATATGCAATATGTTTCAGAGTATCAGCCATGCTGCCATGTCAACAGTCTGTTTAAAATAATTGCTCCTAAATCATTTGGCATTTTTCAAACAATTCAACATAAGCCACTTGATATAAATAAACTAGCATGGGAACCAGTGAATTTATCAACACTGAATACTTGCTGGCATTGATCAGAAGTTGTCAACAGTTTTAAAGAATGTCTATCAATTGTAATTGAAGCCAAAGAAAGCATAAAAATAATTGCAGAAGCAATTAATAGTGAAGGATTTTCAGATATGAAAGGAAAAAAACAAAAAGGAAGTCTTAAGAATTAATCGAGACATGATGATGATGAATCAGATGACCTTGTAACACCAACCGGCAGTCAAAGGAGCACTACTGAAGAATATAAAACATCTTTAACTTACAAGAAGTTAAACAATTTAAACAAGCACAAAAACTGTCTGCTTTGTAATGCAGATTAACCTAAATGAAAGAGGAGAGAACATAAAAAGCACTGAAAAATTCTGCACTCTTTACTGCCAGACTTTAAAAGACCTACACAATCATTATTTCAAGCAAAAATCACCAGGTTTTTAAAAATTTACTGTATCATGTACCAACTTAGTAATCGGTAATAAAAATCCTTTAAAATAAAATTGCCTTCATTGTTTCATTTCTCCCTTTTTATTAACAAAAGTATCTAGGTTTGCTTAAATTATACATACACATTTAATTTGAACTACACCTAACACATTTTCTGTATAGATCATTTTGCAGAATATACAATTTGCATAATATACCCTTTTGTATAATAATTTATTTACAAAAGAAATATTGAATATATTATCTCCTAATGTAAATTTAGTAGAAGTATCAAGTATTAGTATTAATGTGCAAATATTTAGAAAAACTTGTTTTCGAACTAAGTGAATTTAAGATCATACAACTTTTGTATAATATATATACTTTCTATAGTTAAATTTGCAGAATGTGTTTTGCCATGCACACAATTATAGCAGCAAGGGTTTATTGCGTACCACACTTTTGCTTAATGTATAACTTTTATTGACATACATTTATTGGCATACTTCAAGTAACAAATTATAATTTGGACATACCGTATTTGACGGCATATAAGACGCACTTTTTTATTTTTTTCCTAAATTTGGTCTCAAAAACGTTACCTGCGTCTTAGACGTGAAGGACACAGGTTAACAGGACACGGTGAATGTTATTACCGGATAAAGGTCTAGACACACATAACTTTTTCTACATCTGCCATACTTATTTTGCGCATGCGTGAAATATCTGTCGCCAAAGGTCGAAGTTGATGTCGAAGTTCGAACAGGTTCGACAGTCACATTATGTCTATGGAGCCTTTCCTTCTTTACATAGACTTTCTTTGACTCAGCCGACACACGTGTCGGTATTGGTGCTACTCTGTATAAACGTGTCAGATGGAAAATATAACTACAGAAAACAAGAGATTAAGCTATACAATTCAGTATAAACTAGGAATGTTAAACTACGCCAAAGTGCATGGAAGCAGAGCAGCAGCAAGGCATTTCAGTTCACCACCTTTATTCAGTCCAAGTACGTATCCAAAAATTGATACGTACTTGGCGACTACAGGAAGATCAACTGAAAACTGCTAAAAAACAAAAACATAACCTTCGATGCCCAGCTCCATCTTGGCCTGAACTTGAAAATGCCGTAAAAATGTGGGTGATAGATAAGAGAAAATCTGGGATGTTTCAACCAAAATGATAATCAATGAGGCGAAAGGATTTGCAGAAAACATGGGAATCAGAACTTTTCAGGGTCTGAGGGCTGGTGCTACAGGTTCATGAAAAGGCAAGGCTTATCAATACGCATAAAAACAACTATTGCACAGAAAATGCCAACAGATTATGAAGGAAAAATACTATCATTTCATAGGTTTGTTATAAATGCACGCAAGAAAACTTCTTTTGAGCTCGGTCAAATAGGAAATATGGATGAAATTCCACTCACATTTGATGTACCATCCAACAAGACAGTGAGTATTAAAGGGTCTAAATCAATAACCATAAAAACCACAGGTCATGAAAAAACCCGATATACGGTAGTTCTAACATGTTGTGCTGATGGCACAAAACTACTGCCGTTTTTCATATTAAAAAAAAAAACTTCCAACGGGTGCAATTGTTCATGTTCATCCGAAAGGCTGGATGGACGAAGCTGGAATGAAACTGTGGTTACAGAACGTATGGGCGAGGCAACCTGATGGACTCTTAAAAAAACCCTTTCTTTTGGTTTTGGATCAGATTAGCGCCCTTAGAACTGAAACCATAAAGAATAAAGCGAGAGAATTAAAAACCCAGATAGCTGTCATTCCTGGTGGATTGACTAGCGAATTACAGCCTTTAGATGTATCGGTGAATAAGCCATTTAAGGAAAAAGTGCGAGAACGATGGAACAAGTGGATAGGCGAGCCACATCACACCCTCAGGTAGAATGAAGCGGCTCTCTATTTCACAAGTGTGGGAGTGGGTACAAAGATCTTGTGAAGGACGTAAAGGCTGAAGTAATTGTTAAGTCCTTTAAAAAGTGCGGAATCAGTAATGCTCTTGACGGAACAGAAGACGATGCATTATTCGAAGAAGGTGATACTACCGATGACGATATTCTCGTTTTCGATGATGATGATAGTGAAAAGGATTTTTATGGTTTCGAAAGTGATTAAAGTCTAATTTCATGATATGCAACGTTTTCCTTGAATCTGTAGTTTTTGTTGTTTCTGCTTTATTTTGTATTATTGCTTGCCGTTCATTTTTTTTATTCATTATTGAAATTTACATATCATGTTCAAAATAGCCTGTCATTTGTTAATTTTAATTAATAAAAATATGTTTGGTAATTGCATTCAATGATTGTTTATTTGGCTTTTATGAAACATGAGAACTAAAAGAAACCACATTTTAAGTTATTGTGGACTATTGAAACTTTTTTTCCTTGTGTGTGGCCTTCTAAATAAGGGTGTGTCTTATATGCCAGTGTATCTTATATGCCATCAAATACGGTATGTATTATTTATTGTAACTAAGCATTTGAAGTTTCTGAGCCAGTTATGAATATAATCATGAAATTAGGCTATATTTTAAACATCAAGCAATTAGTGCATAAATGCATTAAAATATATTTGAAATTATTTTTATTTCGATCTAAATTCTGCATCAGCATTTCTTAAATTGGGATAAAAACCAGGAGTATGGAGAATATTCAAAAAAAAAATTTTTTTAATGAGATATCTCATCGGCAAAAACTAAATCAACTGCCATTATGTTCATTAACAAGAGAGTTTTATTTATAACTAATGAAAATAATTAAAAAAGCTAATTGAGACTAATTTAAATAAATTAATTAAAGACTGGTTATATGTAATTTTTTTTCAGTGATGAGATTATTTTCAACTGCACAGTTATTGTATTCTCACATTTCATACTAAAAAAAAAAATTACAAGAACTGTAAAAAATTTTACATGCTTTCTTAAAAATTATAAATGCTAGAAAAGTGTTTGTAAAAATTTTAAAAATTAGTTCAGTAAGATTCTATATTTATGTATTTCAAGATATAGAAACATTAAAATTTACTTTTATTATTGGAAAAGGTTTAATATGTTAAAAAAAATTCTTCCTAAGACAGAATTTGAAACTTACTCCATTTAACTACCATTATTATTTTATTTAATCAATAACACAGAAATTTAAGCACAGTAATTTTATTAATGAATGCAGTTCACTAATCTAAAATATTAAAAATCAAAATTAAGCATTAATCAAATATACCTTCATTCAACTCCTATCATTACTAAGTGTATATTCATTATATTTTTTGTAATTCTCCATTAATATGAGCTTGCATTAATTTTTTTAAAAAGATTCTGCAATTTAAATAAACATATTGTATTTATATATATCTAAGTTTTACTTTTATTATTGAAAAAGGTTTAGAATGTTAAAAAAATTCTTGCCAAAACAGAATTTGAAATTTACGCCATTCGACTACCATCATTATTTCATTTTTATTTAATCAATAACACAGAAATTTAAGCACAGTAATTTTACTATTGAATGCAGTTCACTAATCTAAAATATTAAAAATCAAAATTAAGCATTAATCAAATATACCTTCATTCAACTCCTATCATTATTAAGTTGTATATTAATTATATTTTTTGTAATTCTCCATTAACATGAGTTTACATTAATTTTTTTAAATAAGATCCTGCAATTTAAATAAACTTATTGTATTTATATATTTATGTATTTTTGGGGGGTGGACTTGCATTTTTTAATGATGCTCACTATCAAATACATATTTGATAATATATTTGCATTATTTTTTTTAAATCATTAAAGTGTTGTATAAAAGATTTTCCAACCATATGAATTTCTAAAACTTCACTTATGTCGAATGTAAAAAAGACATTTATTCAAGTAACAATAAATATAAAAATGAATATTACATTCATAATTTTCATATGCATACATATTTTACTGAGATGTATGCATTAAATTTAGTGGCTCCTTACTATCATCAAAAAATGCAGTTCAGAAAAAAGGTCTGTTAAATAAAAATTATGCAAGGTCTTCATATATTCAATACCATGTAATTCAATACCATTCAATAATGATGGCTTTAACAGTTATTTACTATACAGTAAATTATCTACAGTATCTGCTAATACTAGGTTCATCAAACTTTACATGAAGTATAACTGGATAATGCTTTAATTTTATTGTAAAAACATATGAGTAACTGATAAAAGATTTATATGCACATTTTAAAAAATGGG